GAAGCTCAGAATGTCCCCATAGTGGCTTTCTCAGCCATTTTAACGAACTTGGCACCATTCCTTTTTTTTAACCAATATTTCAATGAGTTAGGGTGTGTCTTTAGTCTGCTCAAAATTTCATATTTTTTAAACTAAAATACATCTTAGTTACTATGCTTGATAAATTACAGTGGAATTCTATGGTATTAATGTAGTAATTTATCATTTTTTAGTTTTTCAAATAAAAGTTATTCAAAACTAAAAAATATATTTTGTTTCATATCCTCCACGTGCAAATATTTTAAAGGCTTAGCAACCACTTAGTACAAAGGTCGTAACTAGAAGAGATAATTGTTCACTTTACTTCTTTAGTTACTGTTCTTTGTTTTAAGAAAAATAAGTTTAAGAACTTATTTGTAAATAGAAATAATGTACTAGCATATATATTATGTATAATAATTGAAATGTGACTGTATTTTACAAAATACCAGTCTACTAACACACAGCAAAAGACAAGTTACTTTGCACAGACCAAAGGTCAGCTTTATGTTATTTGATATGGTAACATGAGTGCACATGAGCCGTGTCATTGTAACTTCTGTATTGTTAGCCAGGCACGGCTGAAATGTCAATATAATAAATGTTATGAGATTTATGCTATTTAGTCTAAACATTTATGTTTTCGTGACATAATTTGTATTCATTCTAGAATGAAAGAGGCATAATTTATATTTATTTCCTAATTTTTTATGGTGGTTGTGAGATTGATCAAATCTACCAAACCCATACAGAGATTAATTACTGAAAATAACAGATAAAATATAAAGTTTTTTCTTAACATTATAAAGATTTTGCATGTGAAATTTCAAAAGTTTTTGATGCATAAAAATATTTTTAATCTTAAAATGAATATTACTTTGCATGATAGATAGGCAACATGCAAAAAGAAAAAATTAACATGAGAATAACATTGCTTTATAAACCTTAAGACTTAATTAAAAATATTGATATTTTGCATATGAAAGTATTGTAATGTTTACTGATAATCTGCCAAATTTTAACATTCATTCACTAATTTCAAAGTTATAGCATGAAAACTATAACAAGCACAAAATGGTTACGAGGTCTGTCCCAGGGACCAAGCCTGTGCTGAAAGAGTTAACCTCTTATGCTAACCTAAATAAAAAAACCAAGAAATGCCACTGTTTCAACCATGTGTTTACATTTTAACTTCATGTGTACATGCTACAGTGGATTTAAGTAAATAAAAATCAAATAATTCACAATCAAAACATCAATGTTTCATTATACAATAAGCCAACAACACAATCTTGTATTCTAAATAAACAGATCACAAGCAATCATGCATCTAAATAAATCTTTCGAATAAAATATTCATGTTAAGCTTGGAAAGCAAAAACCTAAAATCAAACTGTGGGAGTCCTACCTGAACAACATGTACAGTTGATGGTAAACCTTGAGCAAACAAGCATGAAAGGATAGTTTTGCCACTTTCATCAATAGGTTCTTCTATGGAATGGAGAAGTATCAGTGTATCAGCAACCTAGAATAAAAAAATTAAAATGGAAATAATCTAATGTTTTAATTCAAATTATTGCATACTTTTAAAATCTGATATTTTCAGACCATTACTCCCGTGCGACAACCAACATATTACAGGCTTTTTAAATAAAGTTTAAATTTCACTTTATTGATAAGAGCATTTTTATCTCCTACAACTATATGTAAATGAATTCCCCCAGTATTGCATTGCTAGAAGAGGTAAGATTAAACTAGTTAAACTCACATTTGCAGTAACTTATATAATTTAAAAGGTTTCTATTACTAACATTACTATCGTCAACACAGCATACTTATCGGTTGCAAATACTGCTAAATATTAAAGTTTCAACATTTTCTTTCATTTCTTAGAAAAGTTTTAAAAACTTTAATCATTTTTATAATTTCTTTTATTTAGAATCATCAATAAACTTTTCCTGAAATGAAGTGTGCTTAAAAGTGTATAATGTATTACATTAAGTCATTCAAAGTTTAAGAGAGCAATTTCAGTAATGCTGACTTATGACTTAATTTCTGATGTTTAATTTTCTCATAACTTTGAAGTAAATTTTAAAAATTAAACCATATTTTCACCTGTATAAGAATTTTTCTTTTCTTATTGAAAAGTTTTATCACACAGTGCATACTAAAAGTGATCACTTGCAAACAAAATTTGTATCAGCGATTGTGAAAAAATAACATACATTAATAAGCCTTCTTTGCTAACTTTTTATTAAATTACAAAAAAATTTGATTCATGTATGCATGATGACTTTACTTCATTTCATTATCATTGTCAGTGGTAATAGAAAAGTGGTATAGTAGCTACCGATTATTGCTTAAAATTGTCATACAAGAACAATGCAAAAATTACATGCACTGTAAATTTTTCTAAATACAAATTAGTTTATTAAAATATTTATTTACATGACTTAATTCAAACTTTGTATGAAATACACAGTAAAGATTTCTGATTTTCTCAACAGCTTTTAAGAAGTCTATATTTTTAATAAATTATAATAATTTGTTTACTCAATTGAAAGTAAAATTATTAAATCAAATTAAAGAAATAAATGTGTCAAACTTTTATGAAAAAAAATTATTTAAGTAAACAAAATACCAAAAGATCATAAATATGCAATATTTACCTTTGAAGCATCTAAAATTGCATATACATCACCAGATCGAGGGATCAAGAAAGTATATCTGTGTTTGAAGCGTGGCACGCTGAGTAATGCAAAAAAAAACAACATAAAATTACCAAATATTTTAAAATTTATTCATAAAAAATAAGCAATATATATATAGTTTAGCTTATTTGCAAAATTTTAACATCCATTAAACTTTTTACTTTTCAAGCATACAAAAATCAGCTTTAGAAATGCACTTTTATATTCATAACTTCAGGCTTAAATTATGCTAATTCTGCAAACAAGTTAATAAACTTAGAATATTCATGCTTTGTGTCCAAAATACATAACACATTAATGCAATAAAAGGTTTGGTAATCAATTCCCACTACAGTTAATGTACTTTCTATAAAAAAAATACATTTTTACCAGCCCTTTCTCGACATGAGGGGCCAAGTTATTCTCACTTGATTATATTTTATAGAAAATAAATTTTGTTTTCAAAATTGGGTTACATCTTCATAAATAAAAGAAAGAAATTAAAAACACAAATAAAAAAAATAATACAAAATCAACATGTCTTTTGGTGCATGATGAACTTACAACCCTAAAATAGTACAATTATGCTTTACTGTTAGGTCAGTTAAAATTTTAAGAATTGTTAACAAGTAAATCAGCTTGCCATTTTTTATTGAAGTGTACACAAAAGTTAAATATATAATTAAGTAATTGTTCAAAATAGGAAAACAGAACTACTTTAAGTGAAGATACAATAAAGACCAACTACTTTATAATTGTGTTAGAGTAGCCTTAGCACTATTTTACGAGGAGTTGGATGGGGGGCAGGGTCTTTTACTCTTTAAAAAAATAAGCATTATTCTCAATTATTTAAAATATTTGTTAATTCTTTAAATTTTCATTGGACAGTATCAACTGTTACACATCCAACTGGCTCACAGCCCAAAATTCATAACCAGATCATGTAATATTGACTTCCCCTGTAAATAATTATTACAGTTCTTTTCCTAATATGGCTCATCTTCAAATTCATCAATGTCATATCCTGATTGAAGGTCATCATTAGCTTCCTGAAAACTATGTTCACTGTCATTGTCTCTATCACATTGAATGATCTCTTTCTCTTCTAGCAGTACAAACTCTCTTAAACTGCTGCATGAAGTTTTATTGATTCCTGTACATTATAGCAAGTAAAGCTCCTTTGTTGTTGGACATGAATGGTTGGACACCACACACCAACCCATTCAAACATTTAGACTTGTTCCTCCTTTACATGAGGTTCTTGCAAGCGTAGTAGACTGAGTGAACCTTATGTCAGCAAGTCTGATGTGGAAGCTGGATAATATGAGAATGGCTCGGTAGAATACTTTGCACTCTAAATAGCTGATCACTTTAGGAACTCTTTCATACTTGTTCCAAAAATCTTTGAGTACTCCAAAACAGGGAATGTCTGATCCTTCCAGTGAGACTGCATTTTGTTTTCATTGCAAATGGTTATAAAAATTTACATGTGTATGGCACAGGCATCATTGTTGAAAAAGTTAACATTTATATACATCTGTCAAAACAACAAACTGTGTTCTAGCAGAAACTGTAATCTGAGAACCATCTGTGACCTTATCTGGTGTTTTTCAAAGTTCTCTTGCATGGATGGCTTAATAATCAATGAACACCTCTTTTTTTCTCTCTCTGGATTTGAGTAGTATAGTAGCAGCAGAAATTATTCTCCACATTTCTCTTTAGACTGATGATGCCAAAAGCACTGTAAAGTTATCTAAAAACAATCAAGAAAAAAACATTCACATGACACATCAATTGAAACTGGGCTATCTTTGTAGTTAATATTCTTCATTGGGCTATCAACAGCAGCAATACAGTGATTATATGATTCACACATACCTATTGACCAAGACTTAGAGCACTTATTTCTAGAAATGCTTGTGTTCTTTGTGTTCAGATTTAAATGCTATTTTCCTGGTATATTTCCACCAGTTTACTAAAGAGAATATTGCAACTCTGCAATACAGCATTTATCAAGTCTCTTGTACAGTTGTAACCTAATAGTCCAACACCTCTCATCATCTGTACAATAAACGACAGGGCCTAGATTCAGTACAAATTCCTCTAGATAAAGTATGCAGTTTCTTCACAGTATCATTGGTGAAAAGATTTCACTTCGAAATTTCATTTACCAAAGTATATCTTGTTTTTAAACTTGAAACTCTTGTACTTATTGTTTCCTCTAAATCAGTATACACTATTCCATTCAGATTCTTGGCAGTTGTAAAGAAAATACTTCCGTGTAACAGCTTCCCTCTATTGTACTGGGCTATTTTAAGTAGGTATGTGTGTGTGAATGCTCTCCATATAAACTGAATAATGCAATAAAACCTTCAGTAACTGACTGAATTTGTTATTAGAATCAACATCTAGTGCCAAAATGTGCCCTGCTGGTTCAAGGATAACACCTGTTAGATGTGGTTAAGTGTTGGGCATGTTGCTTTTTCAATATTTGTATGTCTCTAGGACAATTTTGTGAACTATATATGAAATATTCTCAAGTATCTGCAGTATTGCATGTTGTGTCAGTCCTAGTATGGATCAATGACTATTCCATCCTTATTTCTCATACATTCTAGCCTAAGTAGGTTTACCATTTTTGCTTAACAACACCTTTGACAAAATACAAAAGTGTCCTTACTATGACAAGATTTACATTTAAGTATGATGAAGCATTTAGACCAACTGCATTTGAAAATTTTCTCACATAAACAGAGTCTGAAATCATGGAGACAAGGGGAAAAGGTGGAAGTTTTACACAAACTTCTTCAAATGTATTCATTACCTTCATGCTTTTTTCTTCACAGTAAAAGTACAAACACAGCAGGTCAAACACATTTATTTCGTTCTGTAATAACACTTCACACTGCCCTCGGGTCATGATAGAGAAATTATAAACTGTTCTTTTTCGTGCCTGAGGAACAAAACCTAAAGATTCTGAAATCAGAATCACCAATCTTTGAAAAAAGACTGATATCTTAATCCAAGAAAATCAAACTAATGTTTTTATAGCCATTTAATAGTACTATGATTCTCATAATACATTGGGACTCTTGATTTCTCCTTTTTTAGTGATGGCCTGGTCTTTGTAATAACTGACAACAGCAGACAGAGCACACTGGTACTGTGCTTGTGTCTGTGATGCTGTTATTTCATGTAACTAACAATAGGTTTACTCACAATGACATTTTTATTGTCAACAGCACCAACACTGAAACACATAAAATGTAGCACATAGTCCCCACTTGTCTAGGAAACAGAAGAGAAATTGCAAACACTAAGTAAGCGGACAGACAAGTGAAAATGCTTCCCATTCACTGTTTGAGTGAAAATGATACAACACAAAGAGATTATATCTCGTAGAGATGTTCATTAGCTATTACTTAACCCTTCCATTATGGGCTGGGTGGAATCCACCCGTCTTGTAACCATGAGAGTAATTATATTATGATTTTTGATAATGTATGCACATCTTTACAAAATTTTGCAGGTTATTGGTAAACATTACAAGTTTTTCGTACTCAAAATATCAGGTTTTTAAATTAAATATTAAGATTTTTCTCATAAACCTTTTTCTTTCAGAATGTTGACTATCCAACATGCAAAGCAATTTTGATTTTAAGATTAAAACTATTTTAACGCATTAGAACATGTGAAATCTTTATAGTCTCCAGATAATTATAAAATTTTTGTAGAAAATTGTACATTTTATTTGTTATTTCACTACTGTATTTCTGTACGGGTTGGTTTGAGTTGACCGACTTTGTAACCTCAATAACAAATTAGGAAAATAATATAAATTATGCTTTTTTAGTTCTATAATGACTACAAATTATAACATGAAAACATAAATTTTTAGTCTAAATGCTTAAATCTCATAACATTACACATTTATGTATATTTATTATACTGACTTTCCAGCTATGACTGGTTAACAATACAGAAGTTACAATGATGCATCGTATGTGCACTCGTGTTATCGTATCCAATAATATATAACTGACCTTTAGTCTTTACAAATTGACTTGTCTTGGCTGTGGACTAGTATTTTGTAAAATACAGTCACATTTCAATTATTATATATTATATATATATATATGCAAGTACATTACTTCTATTTACAAATAAGTTCTTATACTTATTTTTCTTAAAACATAGAACAGTTAATAAAGAAGTAAAGCAAACAATTATCTCTTCTAGTTACGACCTTTGTACTCGTATGCCGCTTGTCATAGGTTACTAAGCCTTATGAAATTTCCCACATGGAGGATGTGAAAAGAAATTTTTTTTTAGGTTTTATATATACATTTTAAATTACTGTAGTGACACCATAGAATTCCATTATAATTTATCAAGCATAGTAACTAAGCAGTATTTGGGTCTAAAAAAATATGAAATTTCGAGCTCACTAAAGACATACCTCATTGCTTGAAATCTTGTGTAAAAAGAACAAAATTAGCACTATAACATGTCAAAATGGTTGAGAAAACCACTAGGGGTACATTCTGAGCTTTTGATTGGTTATTCATGTCATATTATAAGTAAGTGTATATAAAGGACCATTTCCAAAAATGGAAAGAGGTGAGCAGGGGGCCCACTGTCTTTGATTCAGTACAGGAGCGATATCTTAGCAATACAAAAGATAAGAGGTTCTTATTTTATACTCTAGTTTGTTAATATGAATAGTTTGAGTTCCTAAATCATACAAAACTGTAGATTTTGTATATTGACATCACAAACATCTAATTTGAATGAGTGCTGCATTCAACATACCACGTGACACACAAAAATCGATGTTTAGCTGTGTTTTTTTAATATTTACTTAATTAACTAACATATTATACTGAAATTTGAATTACAATTTACAATTTGATACCAAACTTATTGACATAAATTCATAAAATAGTAGTTCAATATAATTTTGAATGCAAGTCAACAAACGTGATGACATGGACTATGTGATGAAAAAAATAAAAACAATCAAGTAGTTATTTTTTATCCTTACAATGTGTATTCCTTACTCTCTTATTTATGACTCTATTCTTTATGTTTTTGGCATTATTCTCTATTCTTTATGCCTCATCCAACTCCTCTTTTTAGCTCATGGGGCTGAATATAATTAAACATGTAACCCAAGGAAAATTAATTTAACTAAATTTTATGATTTTTGAGATTGATGCAACTTATAACTTATAAATTCAGAAATTCTAAGTTCAACCCAATCTTAGCATTACTTATGGCAAGACATAAGAGATTTCAAAAAGCTGGGCACATTCAAATTTAACAAACTGTATTTGTTAGACAGTTTGCATGAGTCATGTAGCAACATTAAAACAATTACGAGAACATAGACTTAGAAATAAATTAATTAACAAATTTGTTCAAGCAAAACATAGCTAAAAGAAATCAATTTTGGACAATCATTGTATAATTTTCTTGGACTTATTTTTATTAAGGCTTCCCTCACACCCTCTCCTTTTTTGTTCCTAATGATCAATTATTGAGTTTTTTAAGTTAATTAGCAAAATGAAGAGCTATCACAACAATGATTCTTTAGATAGTCAATGATGTGTGGAAAATGATTATTTTAACTTTGTTAACACAGTAATGTTAAATTTTATGCATTGAAGTTTAACAAAAACAGGAATCTTTACCCTTAGTACAAATACTTGCATCACTTGCTTACAATGTCGATACATACAGAACTTCTTCAGTGCCACTGACCAAATGCAATGAGTAACCATTAAAAGTACTTTACCTTACAAAAGCACACAGTTTAAACAACAAAAAATAGTCAAATAAGAAACTTTTTTTTTATATTTTTGTTGACTTATAGTAACATACCTGATATGACAATGGCCTTGTTTACTATAAGTAACACAAGCTTCATTGTCACAGGATTTGATAGCTTCAAGAAGATTCTCAGTGCTTCCTGAGACAGACAGAGAAACAATAGCCTGTTCCAGTAAAAAGGAAGAAGAAAAAAAGTTACACATTTGTAATTTTAAAGTAATCCAGTTTAAAAGTTTAAAACACACACACAAAATACAATGGAAGTTTAAATATCAATATTTAAATAATCATGTTCTTAAAAATAAAACATATCCAACCATGTATTATAATACACAAGATTAAGCTTATGAAATTAGTTTCCCTCATTTTAAACTAAATTTGTCTCTGCAGTTTGATTCTGATTTAGCTCAATGCATAGCTTTTTTCTTTTGAGCATTAAAAATATTTCAAAAGGTAGAGTAAATTTCAATTTATTCTTAAAACTGGTTATTAAACAGGTTTATACATATATGAGCATCTGAACTAAAATATGCATTCTTATTTAGTGGAGGTAACAATGAGAAGGAATCTTCACATTTTTCACTAGATGAAAATATCTACTGAAAATAACCACTTGTCGAAAATGAGGACAGCTAGACAAACATAAAAGGAAATGTACCAAAAAGGACAAAATAGCAGCCTAAAATGGTCACAACTCCTGATTTCATATAGTCTTGCATGTACAGGTATCTTATCAAAAAATTCAATGTGTACTATGGCCTTGAGAAGCCTATCAGTTACCTAGAAACCTTATGAGAATATATTAAACACAATGTATGCTAGAAACGAGCAAAGCTAAATAGTGAGCTCAAAGAAAATTTAAAAGGAATTTTCACTATAGATCATAAATGGTAAAGATCAAACCATTCTAATTACGGTATTAATCAACTATATTTTAACTGTAAAATTACCTGATCTCTGTAATTAAGAGTTTTGTGGACCTAGTATTTGGAGGGATAGATGTAATGACTTGTGGCAGATTGAATGAAAGAGACGAGTCGTAATGTGTTGTTGAATTAAAAACACTTTCTTTACACACACAAAAATTAAATCTTAACAATGACGGATGGTCTCTCATTGGTGTTGTTGAAAGAATTCAAAAATAAACTGATCAAATTAGATAAATGAATAGCTGTATTTAACTGAAAGGCAAATGAAAAAAATTGATTTAATCCAAGAAAATGTAAATAAACTACCCTTGGAAACAAGCTGAAGACTACTGGGGTGTAATAAACTAAAATACAAGGCACAATGGTAAACAGGCTGAACAATCAAGAAAAAATTCACAAGCAAGTCATGGCTCTCTCAAGACAGAAATAAATCTTATTAAAATTGCAAAAACTGCTCTCTCAGTTCACTCACTCTCTACAGCCAAACAATCACAAAATTGGATCACAAGTATCCAGAGGTATCTTAGCTCCATGACACATCAGTAAAGTAGATCCACATAAACAAGTTAACATACAACTATTTCATGAAATCATAGATAGACATCTTGACTGAGTCCTGCTACTAAAAGTAACATCTAGGGCTAATTTAGCCCATCCCAAATGAAAATTTTGGAAAAACTGAAACAGAAGAGTAAGATGTGTAGTACTTGCATACTACTCATAACACAAACAAGATATATTTTTGTCATGGAAGCTCAGTTGGTTTAAATACAAGGTATAAGCATGAACTATGTAATGTACTGTAGATATAAGTGCTAGAAATGTTCAGTAATTTGCAAGATCAAAACCATAAAAAGATATCAAGATTCTAAAGCACAATGTTTGTAGATGTTTAAATCAAACAACAATCCTATCATTTAATCAACATTTTTAAATGCTTTTTAAATCAACCCAATTATTTTAAAAAGTTAAAATAAAAATAATTGTGCAATATTTGAATGTGCAATAATTTGATTTAAAATATGAAATTTCACACTATTTTTATAATTATTCCTAAGACTCTGTTAATTAGAAAAGTTTTGTTTTATGCAAATTTTAACAATAAGGTGTCATCTGATTTTCTATTTAAATTCTTATTCAAATGTGTTTGCTAAGGATTAAATAATTTCTTCTGGGCTTAAATATATTCAAAGAATTGTAAAAGCAAAAAACAAACCACTAGGAATGGAGGATTTCCAATCCCTCCTAACGATCTTTTCTTAGCTAAACATTCTTCCCGTTTTTTCTTTCGCAACTGAAGAGCCTGAATGCAAAGGAAAGAAATATTTACCATGAGCAAAAAAATGTTTTAAAAAGTAATTACATTTGACTTATGTATTTAATTTCTTTCAGTAACAAAAGTAACTAAAGTTTGTATAATCCTAAATGACAAAAAATTAAAAATATTTATACATTTAAACTGATTAACATACCTGGTGAAACATTTTTTAAATAAAAAGCATGCTTAAAATAATTGAATTCAAGCAGGTTATCTTACTTTCTAATTGAAACTTTTGGTCTTCAACCCAAAAATAATGCACAAGTACATTGTAAAATAGCACTAAAACTACAGAGATATTAGTAATGACATTCTTTAGTTACAAATAATTTACAAAATCATACATAATAACTTGTTCCTTCCTTGTATGTATATGCACACATACATTGTTTAAAATAAAAAGCTAACTGAAAAGATTAGATAGTATGGACTGTTTTCCTACCTAAAATGTTAAGGTAATATATACATATTCTGTAAGATAAATTTCCACTTTTTCAATTAAAACAAGTGAAAAAAAATTTAAACTTCCATAACAGAAATAACTGTTGATAACACAACACAAAGATTTCAATCTTAACCATTACACATGTGTTACCCATTAATGGTTTTAAAGATGAAAATTTTTTTAAATGTAGATACATGTTCATACTTTTATATAATTATTGTGCTACTTTGAGCTCTGAATATGTAAGTATGATAGAATATAGCACAACTTTAAAAAAAAGATCATAAAATAACTGATTTTCAAACTTTATATAAATTCTCTTGTAGATTAGATATATGGAAATATGCAACTTTTTTAACTTGATCAGAAATAAAATGTAACCATTGATTATATCATAACAATTACTTCTATAGAAACTTAAAAGTTAAAATTAATGTTGGACTGCTTTGCATATTAAAAACTGCAACAAATGAGAAGTCTATCAAATATTTCACTTTATGTCAAAGATTCACAATGTTGCACATACACATATTATCAAATTTTGCATTTCTAGAATTAAAATGAACTTCAAACAGGTACTTGTCTCTGAAATACTGAAAGCCTTTTATTGTTGAGTTTGAACTCATGTTGTCAATAAAATATCTGACTAAAAATTTCTAAATGTCTTTTATGCACTGCAGAGGATGCATCACCCATAATTGTCCATTCCCCCACATTTGACATGATCTATTGAACAAATATCAGGGGATCTTACATAAGCTCTGTTTTCCCACCATAGATTAAATTTCATAGAAAGTTCCAATCATGATGAAAATTTGGTTGTGGGGAATCAGGATGGAAGGTATTTCAGAAGTAAGTACACATTTGAAATTAATTTTAACTCTACAAATCTAAAATTCATATCAGTCAGACTTTCCTCTGAAATATTGAAACCCAGAATATCCACTTTGTAAAGATCATGGGAATCATTGAAGATGAAAACAAACAGGAAATATAAAACTAAAAGCTACAGACAAGGAATACGATAATTTGATGCCAAAAAATATATAGGAAAACAGAGTCTGAGCAGAAACCAGAATCAGAAAATAATTTGTAGAAATAAACAGTCATCAAATGCAAATGAAAATATCAGTATACAATGATATAAATGCATTGAACCATCAAAACTGACATGCCAGCTACAATCTTACCTGCATGTTACAGCCAAATTGCAAAAGTAAGCCCTCAGCCTAAATTACAGAAATCCTGATAGTGGCAAAAATAGGTGCTACAGATAGAACATTATAGCAAAGTTAACAGCATGACTGTAAAAAGAAAATTATATTATAGCAGGTGGGAGAGTGAAAAAATATGGATTAGTGACACATGCTGTGCAATGAATAATGGAGATTTTGAAAATTTTTAGTTTCATTGTATTAACAGCATTAGTTCAAAGTTAACAAGAAAAGGCTTTTGGTATTTCACTACCTGATTTCAGTATGTCACAGATTCACAATGCTGCACATACACAAACTAACAAATATGTCACTTTACATTATAAATTCACACTGCTGCACATATACATAATATTATATATGTCACTTTATGTCATGGATTCACAATGCTGCACATAAATATACTATTAAAAAAGTCATTTTACATCAATGATGCACATACACATACTATGAAATATGTCACTTTACATCATCAGTTAACAGTGCTGCACATACTATTGCATTCCTATTGTGAGCCATGAGTGGTTCATAATAGGGATCACAAGGAACTGCACAAAACCTTAGTAGTATTTTTGGGTAAAAAGCACCTTAAACTGTAAAGATTCAATTCAAACAATACTTTAAAACCTTTACTACTGACTGCTAAAGCTGTACACATAAAAATGAACAAAAATAGCATGCATGTTAGGAAAATAAATCTGCTCAAAATGGCACATTTGTAATCCTTATTATTATTATTCTCTTGCCAGCCTACAACAACAAAAATGGCTTGGTCTATTGCACCCAAACCTTTTGTAGAATACTAAATAAGGCACTTCGAGGGTCGTAGGGGTGTTGAAAAGTCAATATGCTTCTTCTATATTTTACATAAGCAAAAAGACACCATAATCCCAATGTAAATGAGGTT